GTGGTTTGGTTGGTGGTGGATAATAGCTGCGAGGTGCTTCCTGCGAGGATCTCGCACCTGTGTCCCCAGCCGTGGGGCTGTCATCATCCGGTTTGCTGTGCTGGTGTTGTCGCTCGGGTTGTTGGCTTCGCTGTCGTTGCTGCTGCGGTGGCAGTGTTTGTTGGTAGTTGTAGGCCTTGGTCCCCGGCTCTGGTGGTTGGCCGTGTCTTCGCGGTTGATCTGCGACCGGGGGGGTGTTGCGGAGTGCTTGCACATGCTGTGGTTGCACCGGGTTCAGGTATTCGATCCTGATGCACCATTCGTCCCCCACGTACTCAAATAACAATTTGTCACCTTCTGATAGTAGCATGGAGTGCGCCTCGTAGTCGTCCTCCTCTGGTGCTCGGATCACCCAAAACATCCAGTGCATCTCGGACACTGGAATCCAACGGCCAACTAGCCCTGCTGGGAAAGGAGGTGCGCTTTCAGCACTTCCTTCAGCACCCAGTCTCACGATGCGTGGCCTCCCCCTTGTGATGCTTGCTTCCGGTCGTGGTGTGACCGCGAGCTCGAAGACTCCGTGGGAGAGCTGTGTGACAGTGCTCACAGTGTTGCTCGATAGTGGGACCTCTGGTGGAAGCAGTGGTATGTCCATGTGGTCCGACTGCGAGGCTGCCCATTCTGCTGTGGCTTGGTAGGCTTGCTGCTCTTGGGTTGTGTGGTGGCTTGCTGATGGTTCTGTTTCTGGGGCGCGGCTCTGGTGTCCCCCCTTGTCTGCCTGTTGTGTTGGAGTTGCTGTGGAGGCGTCCGTCGACGCGTGTGGCTGTGGCTGTGTGGCTGATGGTCGTGGGTCGGTGCTGCTGGTCGCTGGTTGTTGTTGTGGTTGTGGTTGTGGTGGGGCTCGGCATTCGTCGAAGTTCCCGCGGCAGAAGAGGTCTTTCACACGGTTCCATTCCTTATCCCCTTCCGCAGGCTGGGATGTAGCTGGCCTGGTACTGCTTGTGCCGGTGATGTCATTTTGTGGTTTGTATAGTATTCCCCAGCCGGGGCCTTGCTGTGCTTGTGGGGGGGGGCGTTGCTGGTAGTTCCCCCATTTGTTGTTGAGCTTGTACACGTGTTTCATGGCTTTGTTTTGAACTCGCTGGCTGCCATGTCCTTCGCTGCGTTTGGAAGGTGGGTCGTCGTCTGCGGGGTCCTCCTCGTCCGGCGTTGCCTCCTCTGCCTCCTCTGTCCCCCAGGGATGGTCATCCCATTGCTGTGGCTGGTGGTCTGCATCGGTGCTGGGCTCGGTTGCCTGCGTCGCCGTGGAGGCTTGTGTCTCGTGTGGTGTGTCTGCAGGTGGGGCAGCATCTTGTGGTTCAGTTCCCGTCTCATCAGGCTTTCGGCATGCTGTTGTAGCTGCTTGGTCACCGCTGGTTTGTTGGTCCACTGGGTCTGCTTCGGCTGTCTCCTCTGCCGCTCGGGCCGCTGCCGCTTGGTCTGCTGTGGCTTTGGTTTTGTCTTGTGGGTCTGTTGCTTCGTGTGTGGTCGTGCGCAGTCCTTGCGCCGTGCGTGTGTATGCGGTGGCACCGTGTGGCGGCTGGTGGGGTTGCGCTTCAGCACCACAGTTGTGGGCTGGGGGTTGTAGTGGTGGTTGTGAGCTGCTGCTAGCCACTGCTGCATCGGTGGGTGCTTCACGTGGACTGTCCGGGGGGGTGGGGTGCCAAGGGTCGGTGTAGGGGTCGTATGCCGGTGGGTATTTGGCATTCCCCAGTCGTGTGCATGGTTGTTGGTAGGCCACCGGTGGGGTTTGTGGTTGTTGCCAATGCCTGTGTTGTGCTTGTTGGTTGCCTGGTAGTGCTGTCCCCCACTGTGTGTTGGTGTTGTGTGCTTGCATGGCTTGTGTCATCGGGAGCTGCGGCACCTGTGGCACCTGTGGCTGTGGTGATTGAAGTTGCTGTGGTTGCGGCAACGTCTGTGATGGCTGTGGTGGTTGTGTGTATCGAAGTTGGTGTTGTGGTTGTGGCATAAAAACTTGGGGGTTACCGTTCCTGTCGGTTTGAACGGTTGCACCCGGGGCCAAAGCGTAGCCGCCAAAGCTTTGGATGTAACCCCCTCCGGGAGTGGCGTGCGTGGCTTGCCAGGAGAAAGCCGTTGGTGCTAGGGTCTGTCCCCCTTGTGTGCTGGTGGCGTAGGGGGGGCTCCATGGCGGGACATTCCCCAACGGCATGGGGGGGTGTTGTCCCCCAACGAGGGTCGGCGCGGTTGGCTGCTGTGGCTGCGGCTCTGCAGTTGGTGGTGGCAGGTGTTGACCGATCTGCGGCGTCTGTTGCGTGCCTGCTGGTGGTTGTGGCTGTGGCTGTTGGTGTACGCCGGTGGTCGTGGGTCCGGCGTGCGGTTGTGGTGGTTGTTGTGCAGCTGTTGGTAGTGACTGTGGATGGTGGATCGGAGGTGCTTGTTGTCCCCCTGGTGTTCCGGGTTGCTGTGGGTATGCTTGTGGATGCGTGCCACTTGGGGGCTGCATCCCTTTACTCAGCTTCCAGTGGGGAAGGCCGCTCAAAAGGCCGAGCACCAACAAGCTGCATGTCCAAGATGCGTGCTGCATCCTTCTGTCAGCTGCTGGTCTACTTCACGTTCGAACTGCAAAGCTTCAGGTGTGCTTCCAAGTGTGTTATCGTTCAGGACAGAGTATATCGAAGAGGTCGGAGTGATCATATCGTACATGTTGAGAAATGGTTCGGGGAAAAAACATATAAGTGTAGAGCGTCATGTGGTACGTCACGGAATAGAATCATCGTTGCGAACAAGTTCATGACAGTGCACATAACATGGACCATCGAGAAAGGACATGTGCGAGCCAAGAGTCCCGGCGACGGCGATGGGCATCTTCTGCGCTGTCCCCCAAGCACTGAACAAGTTCACTGAGTTTGCATGTTCGCCGCGTCGCTAAAGCACACACTGCATCTTGTAGCTGTCGCTGTTCTCATGACGAACTCGCTAGCAAGGGCTCTCGCAAGGGTTGCAGGCATGTCGCAGTCTGAGGAACCTGTTTTAGCACTCTGCTGGGGGTTCAAGGAACGTGCAGGTGCAACTCCTCCGAGAGATCGTTGTCCCCCTGGTGACTTCCAAGGTTCATTCACGATCTCATCGCTTCAACTTTGGAAACCGCTTCTTCTTCTTTCGACCATTCTTCACGGTGTTGTCGTCCCCCGTTTCACTATGCATGTTGGGCATGAGGTTGTCGATGGCTGCTTGCGTTCCGCTACTCCATGACATGTCGAACTTGTCAACAAAGGCTTCCTGAAGTGTTTGCCAAGTCACACGGTCTTTGGCCACGTTTTGCCATGATTCCCCGGCTACTGCTGCTATCTGTCGTTCCACATCCATGTGTGGATTGAACCTGCCAGCATGACGGTGCCCCCCCCAGGAGGGCGGGATTGTCTGCTCGATCCTCCACCAGGCCAGGTTTCGCCATTTGAGCATTTCCGCTGCAACGGCGTCCCCCCGGCTGACATGTCCCGCCAGTCCCCACACCTGGCGTAGTATGAAGGTGCTCCATCTGTCAATCTCGCAGCGGTGTAGCATGGCTCGGGCACGTCGCATGCTTCGTATGTGCCAGTCTTGCCAAAGTTCCCCGGCATGTCGGGGGATCTTGAGCATCGTCCTTGCTTGCAGCAGCTGTGCCGAGTTGGCTGATTTGAGCACGAATTCCAGGCACGGCCACGTTTCGCACGCCCATAGCGCTGAAAAACTTGGTACACTTCTCGATTTGTGCGTGTCATCCTTCTCTGTCTCTCTCTCTCTCTCTCTCTCTCTCTCTCTCTATCTCTCTCTCGCTCACGAGACTTTTGCTTGGCTGGGAGACCTATGCCTGCAAGGAGGTGACTCAAATGCCATGGCATGGCCCAAGGAGATGCTCTGTACTCTATACATGCATCGACAAAACTGAACTTGTCTTCGTCTCAGTGGCCGCTATGCGGCACAGGTGGACTGACATTGAATTTACAACTGGCTCACAACCTGCCGAGACATCGACTGTCGTGGACACTGCTACTGACAGGGATTGCCACCGTAATTGTCTCGGAAGCAGACCTCCTCGAGAGGCCGTCTGGATGCCTGTGCCCCTTCATGTTTGGCATATCCTGCGGACACGACCACAGCGACACCGAAGTTGTCTGGCAAGCCCACGGCTTCTCGCACCGCTGCTTTCGATTTGAAGCCCTCCATGGGGTTCGTGTGCAGGCCGTGTTCCGTCGCTGCCAGTAGGAAGTACGCTACTTGGGGCATCACCTGTTTCTCGGCCCATGCTTGAGGGCTGCAGGCCTGGGCCAGGGACACGTCCCTCAGCACTTGGGCAAAGAAGGGCGGAGCATCTGCAGGAAGAGGAGGCTCCGGATCAGCAGCGAAGACCACTGAGAAGGAGGACTCGAGCACGTGGTGCGGGTTGGGGCCGTCCATGGCCTCCGCAAGCCTCTGCTTCGACTCCTGCGTGTCAACGACGACCAGTCTCCAGGGTTGCGTGTTGAGGGCGCTCGGGGCCGTCAAAGCGAGCTTGAGCACGCGACGCTGCAAGTAGTAGGGCACCGTGCGGTTTGTCCATTCCTTGTTGGCAAAGCGCCTCTTCATTGTGTCTTCCATGCTGGAGGCACCGTCATCTCCCCCTCCACAGGACTGCTGGCCCACTGTTGCCCGGAAAAGGCACAGGAACACGACCAGCACCTCAACTAAAATGTTGTCCACGCTTATATGCACTGGTCACACGCACACACTTAGGCACAACTATTGTTGCAGTTTCAGCTTCGTGCCTGGAGGAAGGGTGCCATGTCGGTGTCAGCTTGGTGGATAATGGTGGATGCTACTCTGCCGTCGTTCTCGTGCCACAAGCTGCTGCAGGTCAGCTAGGTCACACCAGCAGCGAAAATGACGAGAAAAAGGACATGAGCAATGAAGGAGGGCACAGAGCCCGAACGGGCCTGCAAATCCTCTGGAAAATCTCAGCTGTATGCACGAGCCGTTAGCCTGATACAGCACAGCGCTACGGCCTGCAGGGTGTGCAGGAAGCGAAGCTGCAGGTTCTTCGGCGGTGGAACGCAAAGCCTGACGAAATCCCCTGAGTCCAAGAAACAAGGAACAGGCAAGGCTAAGGACACACACGCTACGCTGTACATCTGGTGCACGTCGGGGATGGGGCAAGCGAAACTGCCGGTGCACGAAGGACTCGTGACCCGGCTCGTTCGAACCTTTCGCATGCCTCACATACGTTTGTAGCATCCGCGGCTTTCACTATCTTCAGCCTTTGGTGACAGGCATGGGTCCGACCAAGCCGCCACCGACAGAAGCCCTCAAGACGGTTCAAGTTCTGGGGTTCGGGTTTAGGGTTCAGGCTTTCGAACAAGGGTCAGAGACGGTCGAGGTTAGGGGGGGTTGCTGGATGATGCAATACACCGACAGCAGTGCTGACCGTGACGTGGTCAACATGGCGTTGTCTGGCGAATAACAACATGCTAGACTCTTGCTAGCAACGGTGCCACTTCAGGGGTTGGCCAATTCCATTGCAGGAACTGCTGCACTTGATACGATGCTGATCGATGTCGTTCTTACTAGTCGTTCGTAGATGTTACTGTTAGCAGACTTGGACTGGTTAGGTCTTGCCGGCTCGTGGGTTCGATTACAAGCGTTGCCGGCTTTGGGGGCACGCTCTGCTTAGCTCCTAGCTGTGCGTGTCTAGGAGTCTAGGAGGCAGAGTTGCGCAATCAGGTATGCCAGCAGGGACATGTTAAATGCACCCGGTGCCCCTCCAAAGAAATAGATGCGGGCCGTCGTAAACCCCAAACCCAAAACACTGAAGCCACGGACCAAGCGGTCGTGGCTGCTTCGTCGGGTCTCCACCCGACGTCACGTTCTGATGGCAGCACTTGACCTGTGGTGACCATGTCTGCTGAGTCTACTTCACAGTAACAGTACGACCCTTGCGCTACTCGTAGAGCTTCGCTCGGCCCCCAGACGGACTGCGACACGCACTGCTTGAAGACGACAGCAGCCTTCGAAAGGCTGGAATCTCAGCCAAGTCACGTCACCGTCTTCTTGCCACCTTAGCATGTAACAACTTCCACGTGCCCCCACCCGTGATAATCTGTGCCTGATGCTGCTGCAGCAGCAACACGGTTGCATTTTCCTGTTTTCTACATGCGACAACCATTCTTAATCCCTGCTGATGCTTGGGTCCAGGAGACGCACAAGTCTTCCCGAGCAGGAAACATGTCATGCATTGGAAAGAAGCTGCGCCACCTGCTCGTTCGAGATCACACTCTGTTTGCAGGCTGTCATCAAGTTACAAGGCTTTTTGGCTGCGGGCTTCATCTTTCTGGCGAGCAGCTCTCCCAACAGCATCTCGGGCACTCATGTCGCAGTGGCGGCAATCGTCTGAAGATGGCAGCCCTGTGAAGCTTTCCTTTGCCAGCTCATGGGTGGAATGGAATGTTGTCGAGATGAGTCGTAGCTACGGCGCACCAGAAAGTAAAGGACTCTGAGTGTTCCAAGCGACGAAAAGTGGAGGTGGACGCTCGGATCCACAAAGAGATGCAGTGAAGACATCTTGACTCATGGCTCAAATCGAGGTTGCTGTACCTCGGACGATTGTATGAGGAATTCGACATGGAAACGTCTCAGCAGCCGGCCAACAATCCTGCCACTGGCTCTGCACCTTCGTGATAGATGCGAAGAAGCAGATCCCGCTTCAGAGGTCAACATCGAAGAAACAACGCCCGTCCGTACAGGACTTGGCAGCTACCATCTTCTCGTGACGACGGCTGACGGTGTGATTTCCCTCTGCAGACCCATGGGAACCGGGAACTACCAGTCTGTACAAATCTAACATGGACGGGAGATAAACCAATCACAAGAAGCTTCACAATTCGAAACCATATGAACCCCTCTGCCAAGACATGTATGCACCTCCCAAGCGCAGGGAAATCATCCGACTTAAGCTGAGGAGCTGACCATCTTCGACACGGAGACGCTCATCTCCTTTGCCAAGCACGATGCGACACATTAGGCAGAGATGACGGAGATGTAAAGTGCCAGTGTCTGTATAGCTGCGTGCGTCCTATATTGCCGTACATGTTTAGATTTTGAAGTATGCTGACAGTTTAACCTTTGGGCGGCGCTCTTGCCTCAGGGCGGCGCTTCACCAGCGGGAAAGGCGCGTAACCCAGCAGGTACCAAGGCAGACAGCATTCCACCCTCGCGAACCTTCGCATCAAACGGGATGATGTGGCTTGCTGATGGAATCTCTCTCTTGGGCACTGCCATCGCTCGGCCTCTGATCTTGTCAATGGCTGCATCCTCATCCAGGTCCATATCAGACATCTGGAAACCGTTCTTCTCAAGTGAAAAGATCGCTGTTGAGTTGCGAGCATCATATATCGGCATCGTCTCGGACACCATGCCCAGCAATGGCCGCGGGTTAGGGTCCAGGTAGTTCAGCATGGCTTCGACGGAAATGTCCTCCTGTCGGAGGGACACAAGCCCCGCCCGCACGGACTTCCTAGCACTGCCATGAATGCTTCTTACTGTACCTTTCAGACCTCTCCCTTTCGAGGCTGGGGGTCTGGCCCTACTAGTCCTGCGCTGAGGGTGGGAGCTCGCAGCCGCAGTGCTCGCGCTCACTCTCCTGGCGAAGCTTCATTACTCAGACAATGCATGCCCATTTCCTCATTGGAAGCAACTTTGCGTCGCTCAACGAGGCATCGCCCTGTTGCTTGTCGTTAGCCTCCCTCTCTTGGCTGCTGGGAAGGGGGTGTGGGTGGTGGTATATGTCCGGAGTACGGGCACCTTCATGCGCTCATGGGTCCGTCGACTCCCACAGCGGCCATCTGCCACCGGCGTTGCCTGAGACTGTGCGACGACGATCCGCTCAAATCGTACAGTTCTGACAACAGGGTATCCAAAAGCAGTTTGATTTCATGCAGAACTTCGAGCACTACCTCAAACCGAAAATCCCCATGAACACCTCAAGCACTGAACACCTCAAGCACTGATCCACGCTCTTGCTTGCACACATGTGCTCCGCCACGACGCTGCCTTGTGCTGAGAGGCTCGGAAGGCAAGACTCGCTTAAGCACGTGCAGCTGCGAAAGGTGATGAGCATTTGGCAAGCAACCTGGAAGAACCAAAGATAACCAAAGGTTGCTCGTGGCATGAGACCATCAGTACATCCGGGCCTTTTCTGGATGCTAAGAGCAGCTGCAGAGCTGAGTGGCACTCCTTTCCTAGCAGCCGGTGGCAAGGGCGATTAGAACTTTGGTTCTTCTACAACCAAAAGCTAATCCCGCTTCCACAGAACCCTTCCGCATCCCTTCCGCGCGCGCGACACACAGTGCTTCCGCGGGGCTCTTGGACTTGCTGCCGCAGAACCCTTCCGCTACGTTGCACTATAGTTCCTTCCGCGGGTGCTGTTGTAGTCTTGGCGAGACCCGTTTTGGGAAACCAGATCGTGTCGGGTGCATGAAGCAACGGTTTGGATCAAGGCTCCATGACTGGAAATCTCACTCGCAGTGTCTGAAGTCCGAGTTTGCGGAGGTTCGCCAATGTACTGGAATTCCGACGACACCCAACAACCGACATCCACGTACCGTGCGATGATTTCCAAGACCGCTTTCTCCCGTCAGAGTAGCACACCGACTTCTCCCACCCGAAACAATCACGCGTCGAGCGTTGATCTTCAGGACCTCCCACTCCCACAGAGTATGCTTCACAAGGGCCAGCCCTGAAGCACCGCGTGCAGCTGGACGAGTTCTGGCTGGACAAACAAGCTCCGAATGCTCCGAAAACCACTCCCATGGACGACTGCGCCAACACTTACGAAGGGACAAGGCTCGCATCTCCTTCCGCAGACCTTCAGCTTGCAATTTTTGCCTCTAAGGGCAACGCTTCTCAAGAGGCGGCGTTCGTAGTGGTAGTCGTTGTGGTGAAGGTAGAGCAATGTTACAGGCCGCGCTAGGAGCAGGAGCAAGGGTCGGAATGGGGAAAGTAGTAGTAGTAGTAGTAGTAGTAGTAGTAGTAGTAGTAGTAGTAGTAGTAGTAGTAGTAGTAGGAGCCCCCCCTACCAGCCACCCCTCTGACCATACTCGTGTAACACACATCCGTTGTGCTCGGTATTTACAGCACTTCCGTCATGTAGGAACATCTTATGAAGCTTCAAAATTAAGCTGCATTTTTGCAAACTGGGGGGGGGGGTGGGATGATGACGACATTGTTACGCAGACAACCCGAACAACCTCTCCAGAAAGCCGTTTTGCTCGATATTTACAGTACTTTCGTGATGTCAGACCATCTTATATAGTCACCAAACGTACCTCTGGACTTTGCAAACTCGACATTGGGCTTTGCGAGGGCTTTCGGCGAAAACTCGAAATTGGTTGGGGGGAAGCTGGCTTTTTATTCTGTATTTAAAGTACTTTGGTCATGTCGTAGTCTATTGCTAAGCCCCGTTCTTTAGCACGGTTGTTGCTTCGGGGGGGTGGGGGGATGGGCATGATGACTTACAGGCAGCTCTCGAACACCACACACCACTTCAAGAGCAAAGCCTCCTATGCCGAGGTCTGGGCTTTAAGGGTGTTGGCGAGCCCCTCTCACATACAGCTGGCATCTTTGTTTTTGATGTATAGAAGATGTTGCGCTTCAGGTTTAGCAAAAAGGCATGTTTAAACCTTCTTGGCAGCACCTGCGTCTTGCACGGTATTTACATCGTTTTCGTACTATCCGACCACCTGTCGTTTGGCAGTTTCTTCCCTGTCGAGTTTGCCACTCCAGTTGCTGTTTCAGTTTTGGGGCCTGAGCGTCTGCAACTTCACCGGCTGTGACAGTTAAGGCAAGTGAGCCTCGCAACTTCTGCAGATGTCACAGATAGGGCCTGAGCCCTTGCATCTTCTGCGACTGTCATGTTCGTTGATGGTGATGATGATGATGGGTGAAGGCGCCAGGTGGTTGGTAGGAGGGGGGGGGGCTAGCAGTAGTATTTGGGGTTGTAAATTGTAAGCTTTACAATCCTTTAACCTTCCAAGCTTGTCTTTGTGGCTTCGGAGCTTGCAATGTAGATCCCGTCTTGCAAGCTTTGTTTTATGGCCTTGAATCTACAAGCCTGTTCATCTTCAGACCTTGCGCTTGACCTTCCGCAGAGACATCGCTTCCGAAAACCTTCTGCATCCTTCCGCGCACACAGTCCGAAACCCATTTCAGCATATCCAGGAAAAATATTTCCAAGTTTAGTATGCGTACATCTTCTCAGGAAAAAGACACTGCTTCCTTAAATTGGCCGTCTGCATAGGAACCACATGGTCAGCATCAGGTGCAGCACGCTGATGGATGCTTCGGCAAGACATGGCAAGACACATGGCAGTATGCTTTTGCAATCTTTTTCCTGTTCTATCTAAACATGGAAGCAAGACCAAGCAGGAACCGTTTGTCAAACTACCAGACGCCTTTGTGCAGTGAGTCACGATCGTCGAGCAAGCTCTAAGCTCAGGATTTCTTGTCTCCTTCACACCGCATGCTCTGGCCTACCTAGATTAGGTTGATCAAACTCTAGGACTTTAGGAAAAAGGTTAGGGAGGTCTCCCGAGTCTTGCCGCCGCAGAAACGGATCAGTCAAGATGGCATGTTATGGCAAGAGGCTTCCCACTTCGCAGAAGTTTGGGAAACTCACGAGCCAGCTTGAGAGATGCTTCGGCAAGACATGGCAAGATGCATGGCAGTATGCCTTTGCATGTTCTATCTAAACAAATCTGAACGTAGGCTCAAAATCAAAAAGTAACCGTTTGTCAACCTACCAGACGCCGTTGGGCGGCGAGTCACGCTCGTCGAACAAGCTCTAAGATCAGGATTTCTTGTCTCCTTCACACCGCATGCTCTGGCCTACCTAGATTAGGTTGATCAAACTCTAGGACTTTAGGAAAAAGGTTAGGGAGGTCTCCCGAGTCTTGCCGCCGCAGAAACGGATCAGTCAAGATCGCATGTTATGGCAAGAGGCCTCCCCAACTCCATAGGAAAATTGGGAAACCCACGAGCCAGCGTGAGAGATGCTTCGGCAAGACATGGCAAGATGCATGGCGTGATGCCGTTGCATAGTCTATCTAAACAAATCTGAAACTAGAATCAAAATCAAGCAGGAACCGTTTGTCAAACTACCAGACGCCGTTGGGCGGCGAGTCATGCTCGTCGAACAAGCTCTAAGATCAGGATTTCTTGTCTCCTTCACACCGCATGCTCTGGCCTACCTAGATTAGGTTGATCAAACTCTAGGACTTTAGGAAAAAGGTTAGGGAGGTCTCCCGAGTCTTGCCGCCGCAGAAACGGATTTGTCAAGATCGCCTGTTATGGCAAGAGGACTCCGAACAGAAGCTTGGCAAATCCACGAGCCAGCATGAGAGATGCTTCGGCAAGACATGGCAAGATGCATGGCGCTATGCCTTTGCATGTTCTATCTAAACAAATCTGAACGTAGGCTCAAAATCAAGCAGCAACCGTTTGTCAACCTACCAGACGCCGTTGGGCGGCGAGTCACGCTCGTCGAACAAGCTCTAAGATCAGGATTTCTTGTCTCCTTCACACCGCATGCTCTGGCCTACCTAGATTAGGTTGATCAAACTCTAGGACTTTAGGAAAAAGGTTAGGGAGGTCTCCCGAGTCTTGCCGCCGCAGAAACGGATCAGTCAAGATCGCATGTTATGGCAAGAGGCCTCCCCAACTCCACAGGAAAATTGGGAAACCCACGAGCCAGCGTGAGAGATGCTTCGGCAAGACATGGCAAGATGCATGGCGTGATGCCGTTGCATAGTCTATCTAAACAAATCTGAACCTAGAATCAAAATCAAGCAGGAACCGTTTGTCAACCTACCAGACGCCGTTGGGCGGCGAGTCATGCTCGTCGAGCAAGCTCTAAGATCAGGATTTCTTGTCTCCTTCACACCGCATGCTCTGGCCTACCTAGATTAGGTTGATCAAACTCTAGGACTTTAGGAAAAAGGTTAGGGAGGTCTCCCGAGTCTTGCCGCCGCAGAAACGGATCAGTCAAGATCGCCTGTTATGGCAAGAGGACTCCGAACAGAAGTTTGGCAAATCCACGAGCCAGCATGAGAGATGCTTCGGCAAGACATGGCAAGATGCATGGCGCTATGCCTTTGCATGTTCTATCTAAACAAATCTGAACGTAGGCTCAAAATCAAACAGAAACCGTTTGTCAACCTACCAGACGCCGTTGGGCGGCGAGTCACGCTCGTCGAACAAGCTCTAAGATCAGGATTTCTTGTCTCCTTCACACCGCATGCTCTGGCCTACCTCGATTAGGTTGATCAAACTTTATGACTTTAGGAAAAAGGTCAGGCAGGTCTCTCGAGTTTTGCCGCCGGATCTGTCGGGATCGGGGGCCGTATGTACAGGAACCACATGGGTCAGCATCAGGAGCAGCACGCTGATGGATGCTTCGGCAAGACATGGCAAGACACATGGCAGTATGCTTTTGCAATCTTTTTCCTGTTCTATCTAAACATGGAAGCAAGACCAAGCAGGAACCGTTTGTCAAACTACCAGACGCCTCGTCGAGCAAGCTCTAGGCTCAGGATTTCTTGTCTCCTTCACACCGCATGCTCTGGCCTACCTAGATTAGGTTAATCAAACTCTAGGACTTTAGGAAAAAGGTTAGGGAGGTCTCCCGAGTCTTGCCGCCGCAGAAACGGATCAGTCAAGATATGGCAAGAGGCTTCCGCACAGAAGTTTGGCAAACCTTGCCGACTTCACAGAAGTTTGGGAAACCCACGAGCCAGCATAAGAGCTGCTTCGGCAAGACATGGCAAGATGCATGGCGCTATGCCTTTGCATGTTCTATCTGAACAAATCTGAACCTAGAACCAAAATCAAGCAGGAACCGTTTGTCAACCTACCAGACGCCGTTGGGCGGCGAGTCATGCTCGTCGAGCAAGCTCTAAGATCAGGATTTCTTGTCTCCTTCACACCGCATGCTCTGGCCTACCTAGATTAGGTTGATCAAACTCTAGGACTTTAGGAAAAAGGTTAGGGAGGTCTCCCGAGTCTTGCCGCCGCAGAAACGGATCAGTCAAGATGGCACGTTATGGCAAGAGGCTTCCCACTTCGCAGAAGTTTGGGAAACTCACGAGCCAGCTTGAGAGATGCTTCGGCAAGACATGGCAAGATGCATGGCAGTATGCCGTTCCATGTTCTGTCCTAAACTCTATGCCTGGCGTACGGCCCCCATACAGTAACAGTCTATGATAGGGCTACTATACAGGGCCTAATATAACTATGTTAGGAATATTATCCAACTGTTACTGAGTGGGGGCCGTACCCAATCTGTACCAAGGCAAGACACACCAGGAACTGGGTGTCAAACTACCAGACGCCGTCCGGCGGCGAGTCACGCTCGTCGAGCGGTCCCCTTCACTCCGCATGCTCTGGCTTACCCAGATAAGGTTGATCAAACTCTAGGACTTTAGGACAAGGTTAGTGAGGTCTCCCGAGTTTTGCCGCCGGATCTGTCGGTATTGGGAAAAACATTCAAATTAAACATGCTATGGCAAGAGGTCTCCCGCTCTGAATAAGCTTGGGACAACCTGCGCGAGCTTCACTTCTGGGTGAGGAGTCTTCTCAAGAATGCAATTGCAGGGTCATCTTGCAATATCATTTTCCGGAAGTCCTGCTTCTCGGTGCCTCCCCCAAGCGAAATCCCGGCACAACCTGTTCATCCACTGTCTTGGTGAACATTGCCATGAGAAGTTCTTGGCCAAGTCCATGCCGCTCGAGTACGTGGATGAGATCGCGACGGAGCTGCATATTGGCTGCATTCAGCCTCGGGCCAGCGAGAGTGGGAGCCTGACAGACGTGGATGAGCTGAGGATCCAGAACCCCATATCACAACTGCCTTAACGACATGTCACAATATCAGTACTAGGACAGCAGAACCTGACAACCGGATTGACGGACTTGTCACTGCTAAAGGAACCAAAGACCGTGAAGCCTCAGCTTCAAGCGCGATCAACAACGACTGGACTTGGACTGAATACTGGAATGTCTTCGTTAACAAAAATTGCAGAACCGCACAAGACCAAAACGAACAGAACTGCGCCATGTCTTTTCAGACTGACACCTACAGATCATGCGTTCTACACAGACGTCGAATGCCGTCCGGCCTGCAGACTGACGGCACAGATTAAGACTTCGCTGCCACCTGGAACATACCGGTGGGGGGCAAGCAGGACACCATCCAGGCAAAGTGCACTCGTGTTCGGGCTGCGGCCAGCCATTTCCACGACATGCGATGCTTGCATGTGGGCGAACCGACCACACGGAATATAGACTGGATCTGTGGTGTTGGAATAGACAGTGATGATAGAGTCGCAGCCAACAGCAATGTCGATGTTCATGCCGGCATGATCACGGATCGCATGGGCGGGATGCGATCCGGCCTGCGCACTGACGGAACCACAGTTGCAGTTCTCATTTACAGAACAGGGGGTGTCACGACATCCTATTGTGGGTCAGATTGGAATGCATTGCAATGAAGTGTTGTTCCACGTTTCCCAGAATTCATCATCTCTCCTCCGCTCCTGAACACCCAAGTTGCCTGAACGTCATGCTTTTTGTGCCTGCAACTATTGCTAGCACTTTCACGGCTTGAGCTGGCACGCTGCAACCTTCGGGGAATTGTTCGGAGGGCTCAAGCAGCTTGCCGCTGCTCTCAGCCAGAGCAATCGGGATTCAACAACATGGCGTGGCATGAGGAATCCGCGTTCAGGCGGCATGGGGAACGATCCCAAATGCAAACACATCTTTGACATCCCCTCGGGTCCCGAAGCTGGAGCTCATGACGATTCACCCATGTGGAGCCATGGTGGGCGATCTCGACGGCCAGCAACTCAGGAACGTAGGCCTCACAGCCAAAACATGCCGAAAACACCCAGAAGCAAAAAAAATGGTCGTACTCACCAGCTCGACAAAGCAATCCCCAAAGCAAGATGCTGCGACAAACTCTTGTGCACAGCGGCCCCGTAAAGGCCCAGCTTCCTCACGATGCCGTCTTTCCCTGCCTGTGCCGCCACGAACATTGCTGTCGCGCCGCTGCTCTGCATGCTGATGTCTAGCCCTTTCACGCCGGCCCTGTTTATGATCTCTGGCACCAGGACGTCCACCACATACACGTGCCCGTTGTAAGCTGCCAAAATCAAAGGCGTGGTGCCATCATGCGCCGCTGCAAAAACATCGGCCCTGTGTTGCAGCAAGGGTACGACAACCTCCTGGTGCCCGTTCTGAGCCGCTTTGAACAACGGCGTGGCTCCGTCGAGGCTGCGCACGTCTGTCGACGCGTTGGCTTTCAAAAGCATGCCGACAATCCCTGTGTGGCCGTTCTGGGCGCCAAAATACAAGGCCATTAAACCAGTCGGATCTTCCAGGTTTATGGTCGTCGTGTCGCAGGCGGCCAGGACTCGGCGGTAGACTTTCTCGTTCCCGTTCTGGGCCGCAACCATCAGTGCTGTTGCCCCATCTCCTGTCCTGTGGTTCACTCTGGCATTCTGCTGAAAAACTTGAAGACTCCTGAAACCTTTGCTAGATGTCCTGCCGTGTACCGTGTCTTGAGGCCGAGATAGGCCGAGGATTGGTGCAACTGTTTCGGCGTGCACAAGCAAAACAAGTAGTCAAGCATGAACGCCCCCCCTTCCGTCAAGAACTAAGAAGATGGGTCAGATCGTGCGAGTGCCAAACTGAAATAGCATTCCACCAATCAAGCCTTTCTAAGCATGTCTGCACTGATGTATTCTATGGTTACGAAGACATCTTCACCCTGGTGTTGACCCATCCGCCGTCCTCTCATTCACGTCGGCGCGGGCATCCAACAAGATTTGCACGATCTCCTCGTTGCAGTTCTGGCAACCAGCGTACAGCGGGCTTGCAAAGGTAACGACGGCGTGCGTTCCATGATCAGGGCCACCTTGCAGGTTGACACGGGCACCACAATCCAGCAAGAATCGTACCACCGCCACATTGCCCTTGTCTGATGCTGCAAAAAGGGGCGAAGCTCCCCTCTTGTCCTGGCGGGGATAACGGCACCAGGGCAAAACAGAAGATACATGACATGCATGCAGAAGCTAGTTGCTGCATTCTTCGCATTCGTTCAGGCACGGCATCTTCTTGTGGCTTCCGTCTGAGCGAACTGAGCATCAGCCTTGGCCTCCCGCTCGGCAGCGCGCTTGCGGCGGATTCGTCGAGCGGTGGATGCGGAGATCCTGGAAACCAGCTTGTCCGCGTCCTGGAAGCGTGGCGATGCCTCTGAGGGCGCTGTGGAGACCTCGGCCACGGAGGGTGCGGAAGCCCTCGTCGCATGGCCACAGCACTGCTCGGGCCTGGGAGTGCCGTAGCTGCCGTAGCTCCTGGCACTCCTGGCACCTCTGGGCCCCTCCAACGGAACGTCCGAGGCTGGACATGCCATCGGAGCATGCATCGGCAGCAGCAGCAACGTTGGCTGCACCTGCTGCGCTGCCTGCCACGGCTGCAACGGCAGCAAAGCCGGACCCACCGTCACCATTGCAGTTCTCATTCACAGCAGTGGGGTACTCACGACATCCCGGTTCAGTTCATCGCAGAGGGAGCGCGATGCAATGATACGTTTTGTTTGCAAGCCCTGCAATGTCAAATCTATGCCGAAAGGGAATGCTTGTTGGAAAGGTGCGGCGCCTTGGCTTCGGCGCTGCTGGTGAGTCAGGAATGTTGCACGTACGCCCACATCAGTTCCAAAAGGTGGGCCCATTCCTCGGCTTCTTTGGACAACGCGCTCACGCGATTGCACTGAACTCCAAATCCTCGACATGCGAACACCGACATCAAAACGGCGCTGCACATCTGGAATCTTTGTAGTGGATATCCCGAAATCGAGCCGAGGAGCCCCGGTAGCCTCCTACCTCGAAGCAAGAGTGAAGTGGGCAAGGCGTACAGGTATGGCTCGAAAGTCTGCACATGTTGCTCCAAGCAGCCAGAGTTTGCTCCCTGTTGAGGTCTGCGCCTCAGACATGGCACAAAGCGATGCCTCGCAAAAAAACACACGGATGCTCACACGAATCATCTGGATGTTTTCATTTTTTGCGACAGAAACAGCTAATCTTAGGATAACAAAGCACGCGGATGATTTGGATTCTTACCGATATACGGCAGCACCTGCTACTCGAAACATCCAACAACCTTGCGCGTGCGGTGCACCGTCGATGCAGTGCATGCAGAATCCGGATCATTGCGATGTTGAGTTGCGACAACATTTGCAGTCGAAACGTCCTACATCCCCACGCGCGCACCGCACTTCGATGCAATGGCGGAATCTGCGATGTTCGGCATGTTTACGAAGTCCGGTATCAATCCGATGCCTGGTGTTTGTGCAACATGCACATGCTCTATTGAGATCTTCCGCCCGATTCCCATCGATTCCCATTGCATGGTTCAGTCCTAGACTCAAACAACACGCAAACTTGTAGTGGGCGGGCGAAACATTCGAAGCTTTCGCCTTTGTGCGGTGTATGAAACCCATGCAACATTCCCAATGATCAAACCCTATAACCCGACAGCACGAATCGCTTTCGTTGTCACTTCGAAATTAATACGTGTTCTATATGACAAGATTGACAAATCAAAACCACACATCCAAGGGCACGCACATTGAAACGCGAAAGATTGCCCGTGACACTCGCGTCGTTGGCTTCTTGGGTCACAGGCGCTTGCACAAACATAGCCCGCAGCATGCCATTAGCATATGGAGGCACGCAGATATCTGAGAAACCCAACATCCCGGCTCGAAGGTTGTGTGCTGCACGTGCGCCATTCGGCCCACATACGGTCGCAGGCAAACCTTCATGCAACGATCCGGGCTAGCCCGAAAATCATCGTCTGTAAGCTGACTCGATCCGGAGAGGTGGCGGCTGCCACTTGGAGCAGGAAAATGCCGGGCAGTGTTTCGCCGCCGCACCTCAGAGCCGGCAGCGATCGTGGCAGCTTTCAGCGACCGTTGACATGGCATCGGTGGTTTGCCTCATGGTTTCATCGCAGCCTTCGGCAACTTCCCATCCCGAGACATGTCTTACTCCCACCCTCGCTGCCCACGAACTGTTCACCAGCACACCTAACCGCATGCTGGCCCCAGCACACCTAACCGCATGCTGGTGCTTTACTAGCTTGGAGCAAAACTCCCCTTTGCTGTTAATGTTCTTGCACATTTAGACCGGTAGCAGCTTTCTGCACGTTCAAATTTTGGCTGCTTTCAGGACATCTCAAGATGCTTCATGAGAAGCGCAATAGCCGTTGAGACGTTTAGAGGAAAAGGTTCACGTAACAATGTCGACCCCCGCAACAGGTGGTGAGCCCGCATTTGGAAGCAATGAGAAAAGCACAACTTGCCTAATGGCAGCCGTTAAACGCCCAGGGGCTAACCTGTTGCACGGAATCCTGCCATGCACATGTCGTCTTGCACATGCTTCGGACGACATGGGAGAATGAGCAAAAAGCAGATGTGTGTGATGACCACACCACTCAGCAAAAAGGGCCAACACAGCATGCGCAGGTGTAATGCATTCCCAAACATTGCGCCCAATCCCTGCGCTTATTGGCCGACCCTTTAGACGCAAAGCCTGGGCTTCCTTTTCGCTTTCCGACCCTTTGACTGTCTGCATCGGTTTGGTGGAGCAGCAGGAAGAGCGGCCGGTTGAGGCTTCCTTACACCGCCGGCAAGCTACAGGGTTTGTCAGGGACCGTTCCACCTCACAACACGCGGTGTATTAAAGAACCACCTTCGCCAAACTAAGTCTCAGAGCGGCTCAGACTTTGTGCGCTGCCGTTCCCACCGCAGTCGCCGTCAGCCAACATGAGCCGTGTGAAGGAAAAATGTCACACTGCCTGTTCCCCCGCCCCACGCTTCCCTGAGTGGAATCTGTTCAGGTCTGAGGATATAAACGAATTTCACGATGTCTGGCTTGCTTGGTTTCGTCGTACCGGCTCTTTGCTAGCCACATACATGAGCCATTCATCACCACTGTTTTACGGGCGGGGAAGGATCACACACCCCCCTCTCCCAGGCATCGAATATTTCACCGCAACCGTTGAAATATATTGAAATATTTCCAAGATGGGGCTTCCAGGACTGGACTTCCGCGAATTTCAGGAAGATGGTTTGTGTGTAACATCCGTCACGATTGGCTGAGCAATCACGACAGCAGAAAACCAAGCTCAGGCAGACAACAATTTCTGTTCCCCCCACGAGCTTGCCCTAATGCTTACCGCTTGCCCAATGCAGGACAGCCATATTGACAAGTTTTGACAACGCTACTCAAAAGCTCGAGCAACCTTTTCTTCCACGCCACAAGTATTCCGCACGCAGCGAAGCTATTGGCTGTTTTGCCACTTGCTGCTGAGAGAGAATAATACGGCCGGTATGTACATCGGCCCCCCTCTAGCAGCCACCATGGGTGGGTGGGAGGGAAGCCAAAGAAAATAAAACGAGCCTCTTCTTCCACCGCCACATTTTCCGCGTGCATTGAAGCTAGTGGCTGTTTTGCCACTTGCTGGTGAGAGGATACGGCCGGCATGTATATCGATCCACTCCCACCATTACTGCACACGGATTCTGGCCAGAATTGGCACCAGCTGTGGAGCTTGGCAAATTACCAGCGACCCATTGTTTGGCTTTTTCCATAATGAGGTGGTAGCACCGGGCCACGCAGAGGACTCTTTTTCCTTGTCAGGGGACAAGTCCGCGACGAAGGCGGAGGAAGCCACCTCCTGAAGGTAGACCTCCATGACCTTATGGGACGCCCAACGTCCCTGGCGTCGCACCAATTCGGAGTCTTCGGTGGCCTGTAACAAAAACGTCGCGCCACCAGTGCGGAAGGATCGAGCAAGCGTTAATTTCCGTTCGTCCGACCTATAGCGATCTTTGACCTGGTCAGTATCGTGTCGAGACGGCACGTTTGACTTGTATAGGGCCAGATTCTTTGGTGCTTTTCAAAGTGTCCGAATGCGAGGGTGACGATCTCGGCAAGTTCGCATGGTTTTATTTTCGCAGCTTGGTGTTTGGCCGCCGTTCCACGGGTCTTGGGTTGGTCGATGCAGACCAACACTTCAAACAAAAGAAGCTCTGCACCCACAGGACGTCGGCAGGCATCACCAAGCGGCGCCTCGAAAATCCGGAGCAGGGCTCCGAAAGCGACGGCGAAAATCCCAGCCTCGCGGGTCCATCCCCAAACTAAGCAAACTCCCAAAATAGCCATCAGCAGAATGGGCGGTAGGGCAGGATGGTGCAACGATGGTTCTTCCGGCAGAGGCAAAATCCCAGGCCGCTTGGTTGCACCTTCGCAGGGGAGGCTTAGTGCCGTCAGTGCGTTCGCAGTCTCAGAAAAGTGCCAATAAGGCCTTCCGCTGTTGTAGAGGTCCCTCCGGTGTGCGACGAGGCAGTCAACAAATCTCTCACAGTGTCCAAAGGCTTCTCGTCAAAGAAGGCCCCGAGAGGCCGGTCAGCGACCTCCAAAAGCCATTGCTCGAAAGAGAAAGCAGGACAACCCTCCTAGAAGAAGTAGTGCTCTGGACAGGACGACCCAAGGCGAGAGGAAAGGAGGCAGGCGGAGAGATCAGGAAAGCCAACAGTCTGATCGAAAGCCATGGTGGGATGGGTCTTTGCAGAAAGCTCGCGGAGGGCTTCAAACCTCGCGCCCCAGAAAAAGGCGCCCGCTCCAAGTAAGAGGGGCTGCCTGAAAAAATGGCTTGGCCTCACAGAAGGGGGGGGGTAAGCATCGGAGGCAGGGAGGCTGGGAATGTGGCATGTCGGTGCAATATGCAACGTTGGTTGATCGTGGCGCGCAGGCTGCAAGGAGGGAGAGTGACAGGCAACTTTCGCGGGCAGGGCCGAGCTCCTTTGCGGCAAGGCGGGAGTTCGAAGGCTGCGTGGACAAAACAAGAGAAGGGGCGCCGAAACTGCAAGAAGGACAACCAGGTCCCCAGCATGCAGACTGACGTATGACAGAGCAGCCTCCACCAAAGGGTGCCCCTATAAAGACGGTTCAGGTCTCAGCCAACTCGAGGGAAGAGTTAACTTCCGCTCCTGCCACAATGAAGTTGAGGGAGGCCCAGTTGTCTTTGTCGCATTCCGAGGCATGGCTGCAGTGAAGCGCTGTCTCTAGCTCGTGGTGAGGCAGGTCCTTGAGTGGGCCGAGGGGCAGCTAGCAGATCGAAAAATATAGTCGTCGATGACTCAAGCGTCTGCGGTGGTCAGCGGCAGGCGGACGATTTGCTGCTGCGGTCCCAGGAGTGAGCAGGATAATAACAGAGCCCTGTGAGCGGCAGTCGCATGTTCCACTCCGGCGCGGTCACCCTGAAAAAGCGAAGCTGAAGCCCCGCACACAAGAGGGTCAGGGCGAGGGCTCCCCTCCCTCACTAGACCTGCCCCCTATCGATCCAAACCTGAGGAACCCCTATAGGCAGAGCTGCTGCGAAGTGAGGTGAAAGCCGCACAGGGTGGGCCCGACCTGGCCCGACGGCATGCGAGGACGGACGATTGCAGTCTGACCGGCCTGCGCTGGCGCAACGGAGTAGAGGCACAGGAGAGAGCGCTGCAGAAGCTCATGTGGAAACCCGGCCCTCAAGACTGCTTCAGCCGCGACGGTATTTCTGAGCTGGCGGCACGGGGGTTATTGTGAGGAGCCCTAGCTGATCCTAAGGGGCGAAAACCAAAAGAAGTTCGGCCCTCTTCCCGAGACATGTCCGGGTAAGGGAGAGCATCGCGGGCGATGCCGCACCTGTCAAGTCATCAAAGCGGGCCAGGAGCCGGGCTCGGCGCCCTCCGCAGCACTCGGATGGGGATCTCGCGGCCATTTTTGTGAACGTGGTTAAGGGCCATCACGGCGACATGCACACAGCGATCCACAAGCCGGCTCATGAAACAAGCCTTCCTTGAAGATCCCAGCCGAGGATGCGAGGTATCCCTTGCAAATGCTCCAGGGTAGGGCACAGGCATGGGATGAAGGGCGGTGAGAGGAGGCTCCCCCTCATGGAAAGAAAGAAACACCGAAGGAGCGTCGCAACAAATGGCTGAGCGAAGTCCTGCAGCTGAGCAGAAGGCGAAGCAGCGAAGCTGCCCACGTGATAAAACTCAATTTCTCCAGGAAAGCATCGGCGCGAGCGGAATTTGCGCCGGGATCATCCGGACAAGCACATGCATTGCATTTGGCTGTCAGCTGCCCTCCGCCTTCTTTGCTGCCCACAGTTTTGCCCTGAGCTGTCCGGTTTTGGGAGCCGGCTTGGCACGGTGGCTAGATAGCCGCTGGTCGCCGTTGACAAGACCCCGTGGCAGCGGTCCGGCAGATGAGTCAGCAGCCAAGCAGGTCGGGAGTCTTGTCGAGGGAGCACTGCTCGATGAAGATCATCATCAGAGCTACGGTATCTCCTGCTTCATTTCGCCCCCTCTCGCTAGCAGGTCCATGGCCATGCCGCATTGCCACTGGGCATCCTTTGAGTAGCCCCGTAGCGTCCAGGTATTGGGTCATTTGGGTCATGGTCCCACTGTTTTGCGGAGGCGCGGCATCCATTCTTTGGCCGAGCGGCCTGAATCTTCAGACTGCCTGTCGTCGCTCGAGGTTTCTAGTAGAGTCTCTAGCAGAGGGTTTGAGCCGCGCACCCAACAACAGCAAGCCAGGCTCGCAGAAGCAGTGGGGATGGCCGGGAAGGTGGTCTGAAAGGAGAAAAGGCGACACTCGAGCCAGCAGTGTCTCGCGGGTGGGGGCTCAGGCACTAGGGTCCTAGCCGGGCTGCGATTCTTGGGGTTTGGCAGCAACTCCAGGCTTGTTGTGCGGGGTGTCGGGAATAGGGTCTAGGTCCGGCGCTGCACGGGTCCGGGAAGCTGCGCAGGCCCTCAAGTTGCAAGGAAATCTAGTCACAAAAGGGTCCCCGCTACCCAAACAAGGCTAGCCTCACGGCCAGAGGCTGAAAAATGGGCCCCGGAGGAGGGGCTTGCACGGAGACGTGCGAAAGAAAATTGAAGAGGAAGATTCCAATGCCTGAGAGAAGGCCAGGGAGGCAAACCGAGGTGAGGAGAGGAAGGTCCGGCTGAGCACAATAAACGGGACACCGGAATCCCCAAAGGTTCGAACTGAGACCCTCGAAGTCAAACCAAGCCCACTCAACTCCGGCACCATATGCTGAAGCCAAAGAACTTGAAACGAATGTTTCGCCCTGGCTTCTAAAGAGCAGAGCATCAGTGCTCTCGGCCCCTGTGTCTTTGTTGCATTGTGATTTTTTCCTTGCTTGCCGTGCTTGCTTGGTGGTTCCTTGCATGTTTTTCTTTCCTCTTTCCCTGGTCAAGAAGCCAAGAATCTACTCGAAGCCATGAATCTGAGAAGCCATGGAGGCCGAGATGCCAGGAAACCAGGGAGCAGTAGAAACCACTAGACCGGATGATCATGTTTTTGAGCAACATTGAATCAACCCAAGCCTTGGACATGATTAGATCCAACACCAAGTCCGCAAAGGAATGGCTTTCGTCGTCAGGCCTGTGCCGGCTGCATTATTGAATCCTCTGCCGTCCCAGCTGCCGTCGGCCTTTCGTGAAGCAGCCATCAGCTCTCGTTGTGTAGAAAGCTTCGATTCGAAGCGCGACTGGGCACCCGGCACCGTATATTCGGAGGCTGTGGTGTGCAGGCTCTTGGATCTCAACAGAGATATTCATCCTCAGGTGATTCTGAACAGTTCGAAGGTCTGAAGGCAATGCGCGAGGGCTCGCGGTCGGTTGGAACGTTAGTGACACAAAGACAGGGACAAGGAACACAAGGCACAGAAGCGAGGAAGCAGAGCAGGGCGGGGATGGAACTGTCCCTCACGGCTTGAGCTGAGACTTCGGGAAGGTGCATGCAGGAGCAGCTCTCAGTCAAAGCAATCGCGGTTCAAAACCATGGCATGGCATGAGGCATGCACGTTCAATTCGTGGGGAGCAATCCCAAACTCAATGGCGCCTCTTTGACATCCCCACACGGCGGAGCGAACATCGAAGATCCGAGTCGAGTGTACAATATCGCATCGGCACGATCTCCCAGCAGTCTCAAGAACTGGTAAAAACTGCTCGGACACTCCAGTAGCAAGAACCTGCCGTCCAGGAGCGTTGGCCTGACAGCCGAAACACACAATAAACTGCACAAGGTCGCACTCCCCGCGCGACAAAACTATCAAGATGCTACAAACTGACCAGCGACTCTCGCACTGCGGAGGCAGCGCCATCTCGTCCGACTCCTAAAGATTGAGATGAGAGGCCTCTCCTACCGCAAAACTGGTAAGGTCAGTACTACAGCCACAGAACCTGATGTCCGTTATCATTCGAACTTGTCCCGGCTGCTTCTTTCGATGTGGCTACCCTGAAAACCGATCCGAGTGGATCAAATTCTCGGAGCATGCCTTGTGCAGCCCCTCAACGTCATCTTGCCTTGCCCGATCGGCGTTGTTCCGGGGATGATGCTGAACCTTTAGCCTCGGCTGCTTCATGGTTAAGGGATCTCGTGGCTTGGGCTCTGACAACAAGTACCCGTAACAGCAGCACGGAAGAGGGATAGGGAACCATCAAAGCTGCAACCAGACCATTCGGTGAGAAGCTCGTCTACCACAGAGTCCATGGAGAACTCCTGGTCAGCAGCATGCCTTGAAAGATGCAGCTACACGAACGGAGCAGGTTTGGCACTTTTTCCTTCCTCGACGGAATGATTCCTTGACAGCACACCGAATCAAATTATCTGTCTAGGACGGGGCCGCTGCTGGTTTTCAGATTTCCCGAAAGATTACCAAGCCAACATTCGCACATGCGGCGTCTTCGCACTAAAATAGACTGCGATACATCGACGATGCTGCGTTCGACGTCCACCCTGGAATCACACATGCGCCATGGTTTCTGGCTTCAATGAGAACCTCCACACATTCCAGGGCCCAGTCCACGGCTGGACTTGCCACGAAGCTCCCAAAATTGACTGTACGGTATTCGTCGTAACCTGTCCCAAAACAAGGGCCAAAACAAGTGCTTTGCATGCCCTGTCTTTGTGAGACGTCAGAATATCGTGAAATAGTGCCAAGTGTAGCAGCGGGCAACAGATCTTATTGCAGCACTAGGGGGTCGCGAAAGCCGTCGAAACCGCGATTCCCAACCTGCCCTCATGCATAAACCCTTTAACAGCCAGCACGAAATTCGCAACTTGATCTAAGCATCCTGCTTTGTGACATTCACCCGAAAAATCAGTGTCGTATAAAAAGGCCATGAAACAGAAAGCGAAACTGATACTACAATACTGTCATAAACATGCGTCGCGCGTTCTCCGAAATTGCTGTCGAGGTATGTAGGTAGTAAAAGGAAGGCACGGATAACGAGACAAAATTGTCATGCTGACATGCCAGGACTGTTCGAGCTGGAGACGAATTTCTGCATTATGAAACTTGGATCCAGCGGCAACTGTGCAACGGTGCCTGCCTTCTTGCACACACGGGTCCTGAACAAAGAGCTCAACGGCCACTTGGAACTTCTCGACAGACTTGATGCCCGTGCCGTTGACACCAGACCTCGAGTTCTGCACATGTTTGAGGGCGCTGATGCAGGTCTGAGCGCTCGGCAAGTCTCTGGATAGCGGACCAGTCCCGCGGCCCAAGCCATTGAACGCCGCCTCCCCATTGCAACTGGAGCTGAGACGCCGCGAAGCCGAAGGAGGGTCGGTTGTCAAACGAAGGACCAGAAGACAAGGACAAGAAGACTCGAGTACGTGAGACCTGCACATGCCCTTCTCTTGGGTCGACAGCGCAAGAACGGTGGCACGTCTTTCCAACTCACTAGGTGAAAGGATAAATCTAAGCTTTGATTAAACCATCTGCCGGTCTCTACGAGTTCCTCGTTGACATGTGACCGCCAAACGGCAACTATCGCATGCTTGGGAAGACTATGCTTTTTCGCTGCAAAGCTTTCGATAGTATTCAAGGACGTTAAAGCAGCGGACATGCAAACGCGGTACATTCAAAGCAAAGGCTTTCCAGACGCGCAAAACACACACAAATGTGGACACCACCCGTCCTCTTGGACTGAACGGTCAAAAAGCTGACAATGCTCCTAGACATAAGCAGATCTCCGCCTCACTTTCTGATGCCAGGCAAGAGGAGAATCCTCATTCTGGCAGCCGGACAAACCATGTCAACTTTAGCATCGCTGCTGTAGTGGTGATCGAGTATCCGGCACACTCTACCGCGTAATTGAAAGCCGGGTCCTTGCTTGTAGCTGACCTGAGCACGGTTCAGGGTTTCGAAGAGCTCTCGCAACTGTTTTGCCGACTTCGACAGGCACTTGAAGGACCTGAGTCGCATGCGAAAGAATAGAACGCGCATCACGGGGCGGCAGTACTTTTGCATTCGAACATGAATTCAATCTTGCCTACGTTCGAAAGCAAAAAGACGCAGCAGTGCGAAGCTGCTGCTTTTGGTCGGTCACCGTGCTCTCCATGTATGCATGTGCTGTCTCTGTCGCACAGCATTTAGGAAGCGAGACCTGTCCGAACTACTGCAGCTGCCGCGCTGGAAAGGCTGCGTCGCAGGCACCACATGCGGCAACCACACAAGGCATAAGGGCTACCAGTTGCGGTTACGCGACTGCGTCGGAAGATGAAAATCTCCGAATCTCTTGAAGCTCACCAAGTAGGCCCGACACCCCTTTACAGGAGCCCAAGACCGCAGATTGGATGCAATCAGCTTGGCGAACATGCGTGCCTTTTTGTAACACGGCCTACGAATCCGAGCCTCGGGGTCTTGCGCGGAAGACCAAGAGGCTGATGAGGCCTTAGGCCTGGGGTCATGCACTGGGTCTCCCTTGGCTCCGAGACGCAAAGAGTTCGACTAGCGGCATTCCGAAAAGTGGGCTTGGTCTCTCGAGTTTATTGAAGGGTCTCGGAGGCAGCTTCTGCCAACAAAATGTCTCAAGATCAAGACAGCCTTGATGAGAGACAAACATTCAAACTGTACAGGCTGTGCTTGGGAGAGGTCCACTATCACTCTGCACATAGGCCCTTTAAGCCACAAGCGGAATCACCACTAGCGATCGCACCTCGTAGGATTGGCGGCCGGGGGCGGTTTCTGGTGTCGAAGGGTGCACGAAGGCGGAGTGGAAGCAGACTTGTGGACTGGAGTCTTCGGCACTGTCGTAAGTCTTGAAGATGAGAGCCTCCTGCCGGGACATGTTGGACCAGTAGTACCAGCGGTGCCTTGGAGAGAAACGAACTCCTCGACTTTCCTCCACAATTTCTTCTGGGGCCCCTTTGCTAAACCCATCGCATACTCCTGCCCCGCTGCTCCCGCGCTGCGTCCAGGCAAAGGTGTCCTCTGAATTGAGAGTGCGCTGGTCCAAAAGGGCGAGAGGGTCGCGTCTGAGCGGCTGCTCAGCAAGGTTGCCCCAAACGTTCACAAACCAGAAGTTGCATTCACCCTGCAGCAATGCCTTCCTCTGCTCTGGTTTCAATAACGTTTCGCCTGTGGGTCCCGGCAGCATACTTATGGCCATGACCCTGGCCATAGCACTGTTGTGCGTATAGTCGCCATGCACCACCTTGCAGGGAGAAGCGGCGGGACCATACACAGAGCCGTTGGCGGGCGGCGCTTCACCAGCGGGAAAGGCCCGTAAAGCATGTGGTACCAAGGGAGACAGCATTCCACCCTCGCGAACCTTCACATCAAACGGGATGATGTGGCTTGCTGATGGAATCTCTCTCTTGAGCACTGCCGTCACTCGGTCTGTGATCTTGCTTATCCCTGCATCCTTCAGTACTTCCATGCTGGTGCATGGCACCCCATCCAGGTCCATATCAGACATCTGGAAACCGTTCTTCTCAAGTGAAAAAAAAATCGCTGTTGAGTTGCGAGCATCATATATCGGCATCGTCTCGGACGCCATGCCCAGCAATGGCCGCGGGTTAGGGTCCAGGTAGTTCAGCATGGCTTCGACGGAAATGTCCTCCTGTCGGAGGGACACAAGCCCCGCCCGCACGGACTTCCTAGCACTGCCATGAATGCTTCTTACTGTACCTTTCAGACCTCTCCCTTTCGAGGCTGGGGGTCTGGCCCTACTAGTCCTGCGCTGGGGGTGGGAGCTCGCAGCCGCAGTGCTCGCGCTCACTCTCCTGGCGAAGCTTCATCACTCAGACAATGCATGCCCGTTTCCTCATTGGAAGCAACTTTGCGTCGCTCAACGAGGCATCGCCCTTTTGCTTGTCGTTAGCCTCCCTCTCTTGGCTGCTGGGAAGGGGGTGTGGGTGGTGGTATATGTACGGAGTACGGGCACCTTCATGCGCATGGGTCCGTCGACTCCCACAGCGGCCATCTGCCACCGGCGTTGCCTGAGACTGTGCGACGACGATCCGCTCAAATCGTACAGTTCTGACAACAGGGCATCCAAAAGCAGTTCGATTTCATGCAGAACTTCGAGCACTACCTCAAACCGAAGATCCCCATGAACACCTCAAGCACAGATCCACGCTCTTGCTTGCACACATGTGCTCCGCCGTGACGCTGCCTTGTGCTGAGAGGCTCGGAAGGCAAGACTCGCTTAAGCACGTGCAGCTGCGAAAGGTGATGAGCATTTAGCAAGCAACCTGGAAGAACCAAAGATAACCAAAGGTTGCTCGTGGCATGAGACCATCAGTACATCCGGGCCTTTTCTGGATGCGTGGCACTCCTTTCCTACTTGTAGCAGCCGGTGGCAAGGGCGGCAGAGCTTTGGTTTCTTTAGGAAGGTCATCCCGCTTCCGCAAACCCCTTCCGCATCCCTTCCGCGCGAAAAAGGTGCTTCTGCCCGGCTCTTTGAACCACTTGCTCCCTGAGAACGCTTCCGCAGCCCGTTGTCGCTACGTTGCACTGTCTTTCCTTCGGCGGGTTGTAGTCTTGGCGAGACCCGCTTTTGAAAACCAGCTCATGTCGGGTGAATGAAGCAGGGGTCTGGATCAAGGTTCCATGACGGGAATGTTTGCGAATGTAGACTTCCGACGACCCCCACAACCGACAACCACGTACTGTGCGATACTCCGCGCGATGATTTCCAAGGCCACTTTCCCCCATCAGAGTAGCACACCGACTTTTCCTGCCCCAAATATTCACGTACCGATCGTTCATCTTCATGGCCTCCCATTCCCACAGCGTATGCCAGCCCTGACGCGCTCCTGCAGCTGGACCAGATGGACAAACAAGCTCCGACAACCACTCTCATGAACGACATTCTGCGCACCTTCCGCGGACCTTCCGCGACTGGCAGCGTTCGTAGCGGTAGTCGTCGCGGTGACGGTAGAGCTCTAGTGGCAATGTTGCTGGCCGCGGTACGAGTAGCAGAGCTACTACTTCGCTCGGAGCTCCCAAACATTCATCAAGCCTTGACTGAGCTTTACAGTCCTTTAGGCTTCCAAGCTTGCCTGTGCTGCCTGGGAGATTGCAGTGTAAATCCTGTAGCTTACAAGCTTCGTCTTTGCTCTACAAGCCTGTTCATCTTTAAACCTTCAGCGAGACCTTCTGCGGAGACATCGCTACCACAAACCATTCCGCGTACTTCCGCGCACACAGTCCCAAGCCCATTTCAAGATATGCAAAAGGAATTATATATTTCTACGTTTAATCAGCATACATCTTCCCAAGAAAGAAACCACTGCTTGATTGCCCTTTTGCCTTAAATGGCCGTCTACATGGGGACCTCTTGGTCAGCATTAGGAACAGGACGTGAAGGATGCTTCGGCAAGACATGGCAAGATGCATGTGTTGAGTTTGCATGTTCTCTCTAAGCCTAGAAACAAGACACACCAGGAACTTTGTGTCAAACTATAAGATGCGCTCGGGCGGCGAGTTACGCTCATCGCGCAAGTTCAATCCCTCAGGATGCTAGGTCCCCTTCACACCGCAACCTCTGGCCTACCAGCCTGCCCAGATAAAGCTGATCAAACTTCAACACTTAGGAAAGGATTTCGGAAGTCTTCCGAGTCTTGCCGCCGCAGAAACGGATCAGTCAACATCGCATGTTATGGCAAGAGGCTTCCCACTGCGCAGAAGTTTGGGAAACCCACGAGCCATGCTTCGGCAAGATGCATGGCACCATGCTGCGCAATCTAGGAACCTAGGAAAAAGAGACACCAGGAACTGGGGGTGTCAAACTACGGGTCGCCGTCCGGCGGCGAGTCAGGCTCGTCGGGCAAGCTCAAGGATGTGCTGCGTCCCCTTCACACCGCTGGCTCTGGCCTACCCAGGTAAGGTTCATTAAACTTTAGAACTTTAGGAAAAGGTTTGGGAGATCTCCCGAGTCTTGCCGCTGCAGAAACGGATCAGTCGAGATCGGGAAAACAATTAGATTAAGCATGACATGGCCTCAGGACTCCCGCTCTGAAAAGGCTTGTGGCTCCATGCACGAGCTTGACGCTCTCGTAGTGGGGCGAGTTTGCGAATGCAATGGCAGGGTCATCCTGCAATATCATTCTCTGGAAGTCCTTCTTCTTGGTGCCTCCCGCCCAGCGAAATCCCGGAACAGCCTGCTTATCCACAGTCTTGGTGAACATTGAAATGAGAAGGTCACGGCCAAGTCCATGCCGCTCGAGTACGCCGATGAGATCGAGACGGTGCTGCATGTTGGCTGCAGTCAGCTTCGGCCCAGCGAGGGTGGGAGCCTGACAAGCGTAGATGATCTGCGGATCCAGCACCCCATGTGACACCTGACTGCGTCCCGATATTTAGACCAGTGCAGCTCCGCCGAGGCCGGAGGCCGGGGCGTCTAGATCAGGTCCATGCAATCCGGTGTAACGTGAACACATTTGTACCCACACCCTTTATCTCCTCTGCGCCCTCGCATCCTGCCCCCCTCCTCCCCCCTCTTCCTGCTCGGCATTTCCCTAACCCGTCCGCCGCCCCTTCCTGCCTTCCACTCCACCTTGTCTCGCTATCGCTTCCCACCTTTCGCTTTTGCGGGTCTTCTCGAAAGTGCCAAGCCGGCGAACCACGGAGCGAACTCGGAACAGCTCCGAGGCGGCTCCCATGTTAGCAGAAAAAATAACGGACTACAACGAAGCCTCAGCTTCAAGCGCGATCACTATTCGATTCAACAACGACTGGACTTGAACTGGGACTGAACCTCTTCTTTCACGAAACTTCAGAACCGCGATGTCTCTTCACAATGCCACATACCAAGCATGCGTTCTCCACAAACGTCGAATGCCGTCCGGCCTGCAAACTGACGACGGCACAGATCAAGACTTCGCTGCCACTTGGAACATACTGGTGGGCGGTAAGCATGACACCGTCACGGAAAAGTGCACTCGTGTTCGTGCTGCGGCCAGCCATTTCCACGACATGCGACGCTTGCATGTGGGTGTCCCGAGGACACGGAATATAGACTGGATCTGTGGTGTTGGAATAGACAGTTATAGAGTCGCAGCCAACAGCCATGTCGATGTTCATGCCGGCATGATCACGGATCGCAGGGGCGGGCTGCTCGGATGTTGTATCGAGACTTGCAGGTACCTGCATCGATTGTGACCACACGCTATATTCCACTATGCGACATGCAGAGCATGCCGCTCGAATGCCATCCGGCCTGCACACTGACGGAACCGCCGTTGCTGTTCTGATTCACAGCAGGGGGGTTCTCACGACGTCTCGGATCCTGGGGCGGATTGGAGTGTGTTCAAGTAAAGTGGTTCCTCTGCTCTTGAACATGCAGGTTGCTACCAGTGGAACGTCATGCAGCTACAATGCTTGCAACTATTGTTAGTGCTTTCACGGCTTGAGCTGGCCCGCTGCAACCTTCGAGGCATTGCTTGGAGGGCTCATGCAGCTTGCCGCTGCTCTCAGCCAGAGCAATCGGGATTCAACAACTTGGCGTGGCATGAGGAATCCGCGTTCAGGCGGCATGGGAACGATTCCGAACTCAAACACGTCTTTGACATCCCCTCGGGTCCCGAAGCTGCAGCTCATGACAATGCACCCATGCGGGGCCATGGTGGGCGATCTGGACGTGCACAATCTCGTCCCCGACGGCCAGCAACTGCGCGAACTGCTCAGATACTCCGAGACGATCAGCAGCGCTGGCGAGAAGCCAATACATCCGTCCAGGAACGTAGGCCTCACAGCCAAAATATGCCGAAACACCCAGAAGCAAAAAAATGGTCGTACTCACCTGCTCGACAAAGCAATGCCCGAAGCTAGATGCTGCAATTTGGCGCAGGGTGCGCAGACTTTGGGAACTTCAGCTGGGGACCTCAAACATCTTCCTCCACTCTCAATTCGAATGCTGTCCAGCCTGGACCGCGTTGGGGTTGGATGTGGGCCGTCCCGGATCCTCAGGCAGATTGGCGTGGCAGGAGAAATGGGTCTTACTTCTCCCTGTTCGGCAGGGCAAAACTGGAAACCATATGCTGCAACCCTGCCCAAGGTGGTGAGACTTCGGGGAGGTGAAATTGCAGGGATTAGGGATTAGGGCTCGTCCATGTTGCCGCTGCTCGCAGCCAGAGCAATGCGGATTCAAAAACATGGCATGGAATTAGGAATCCGCCTTCAGGCGGCATGGGAAAACGAGCAAGACGAACACACAGAAAACGAAAGACAGGGAAAAGAGGAACAGAATACCACGGGTCCCCTCTCAAGGCTACATACAGAGCTACATACAGAGCATGTCTCCATCACTGACTTCGAATGCCGCCCAGGCCTGCGCACTGACGGAACCAACGTTGCGGTTCACATTCGCAGCAGACGGATACTCACGATATCCAGGTGCCTCAAGCAGACTGGAGCGCTTTGCAATGAAGTGGCTTTGTTGCAAGGCCTTGCATGGAATGCTTCGTGTTGTCGAGGTGCGACACTTTGGCTTCGCCGCTTCGCTTCAAACCGCGTCTGTTTCTCGGGCTCATGAGTCAGGAATGTTGCACGTACGCCCACATCAGTTCCAAAATGTGGGCCCGTTCCTCGGCTTCTGTGGACAACGCGCTCACGTGATTGCACTGAACTCTAAGTCCTCAACACGCGAACGCCGACATGAAAACGGGGCTGCACGCCTCATTTCCAAATGAAACCGAGGGGCCCGTGTAGCCTCCTGCCTCGAGGCCAAGCTGAAGCGGACAAGACGTGCAGTATGGCTCGTGGGTATGTATATGTTCCAAGAGGCCGGAGTTTGCTTCCAGCTCAGGTCTGTGCCTCAGACATGGCACAGAGCGATGCCTTCTTCATGCATCACACGGATCATGTGGATGTTTTCAAAACTAGCAAATCGACCTACGTCCCCGCGTGTGCATTTTACCATCGATGCAGTTCATGCAACACACGGATCAGTTG